GTTGCCGGGGCACTCTCGAAATATGGGCACGGTGAGTCTTGAGAAGCCTACACATCTTCTTGTCGAGGCATGCCTTGTGCATGTTGGTGCCTCTGCGACTGAGAGAGAGAGAGAGAGAGAGAGAGAGAGAGTGTGTGTGTGTGTTGTTGGCGTTGGTAGCGGCCGCTACGGGAACAAAGGCTGTCTCAAGGTAGTCTAATTTCCCTGCAGAGTCCTCACACCAACTGGAAGAAGTCATTGTTGCTGGACATTCATGGTGCCGCTAGAATGTGACTGTGAGAACAGGGAGCCCTCAGCGCAACCAAACCCAGTTGCTGCATGCCAATACCTAGACCTTCCAAACATGCATAATGGCAGCCTCTTTCTTATTCATTTGGGGTTGCGGTCCCTATTTTGATGATTTAGGAGGTGAGGGTAGACACGGGAAGAAATTTATTTGAGTGCCAGCGCCCCTTATCATACCACCCCCCCAGAACATGTTTCGGGTTTGGGGGTTGAGAGTTTGGACCCGCACAACAGGGCTTCTAACTGAGGATCCCGTCGTCCCCATACCTAGACCCCGGGGAGGATCTATAAAGCAATGGAACCCTGAACAACAAGTAACAACAAGTGGGAGATCGCTAGGCATCAAGTGGAAAGAGTGGGCTACCCCAACTTGGAGGAATTGAAAGAGCGTGGCCTCCAGTAAGCAGAAATTGGAATGCCCATGACCCATCCTGTGTCAACCAGTTTAAAGGTTTATGGTTTAGGGACCCTTCGTTCTTTTTCGATTTCGGATTTCAGATTAAGGGTTTATTGGGGTACAGGAAACGGTTATAGTTTCGCAAGGTCCGTCACATCATCTACATCCATCTCAGGTGAACCAATGACTAGGCTCCTCAATGTGAGTAGTGTTTTTTTGGTGGTTCAACCTAGTAAGATTATAATCCTTATATAAAAATACTATACCCCAAAAGGAGGATATAATCTTAGTCTATATTGGGTACCATAGTATCCCCAAATAAAATACTCCTCAATGTGGAATGATGAGGGTAAGTGCGAGATTCCAGGACTTGCTTTCAGGCCGACTCAGTGCTCCTCCAAAAAAACAACATGGTAGTTTCCATGTAGAAGGACCCCAATATAGGTCCCAAAATACTACCCATGATTTCCACTTAATTTTCCATGTTCTTATCCATGTGTTTCTCCATCATGGAGGGGATACCCCTATTATTTTTGGGAAACCCTAAGCACTTCAGGTTGAGGGCTGCATCTGGACGCTTCCCGTTTCAAGACATTGAACCCCAAGAGTATGTAGTAGGTTTAGGGTCTAGGGTTGAACCCCAGTAGTATTTACCTTTTGGGCGGTCTTTAGGGATGTTGGGCGATGATCTTACCTACTTTTGGGACTCAGGTAGGGTTTGCGTGCAGCCATTGACATCTGAATCAGGACCATGTGGTAGGTTTGTCTTTTATCAATAAGACCAAAAATAGAGACCGAGATTCTATATGACTGCTGATATAGGCTCTTCCCAGAAGGGCCCCCGAGCATCGGAGACCCTGGCCCTAACCCCCATAAACTGCTGCCCTCGAGTATATAGTAATGTATTATCAGCTTCCTATTCGTTTTCGACTTTTCTGTCTGATTTTCGATCATTGGGGCCATGTTCCATAAATGTCTTATATAATCCCAACTGACACCCACCCCGCCCCCTACCCATTTACCTCCTTTGTTACAGGGATCCGGCCCTGCCAAAGCAGGCGCTGAATTTCCAAAACTCAATTAAAAGATTGGGGAACTGTTATTACTGTTATAACTATCTTTATATACATACGGTTTTTGGTATTACTCTTCTTCTTGGTGTTGTTATGAGTCTTGTTGCTAATATCATGATTATTGACATTCCCGCCTTCATGGGAGCAGGGGTAGGCAGGGGGTTCAGGGGACCAGGGGCGGAAATCTAAGTCTGGACCTATTACCGGGCTTACTGCTTCTAAGTATGGAACAAGGGAATAATGTCGTGAAATTATCGGGACTACATAGGTATGGTTTACGGATTATTCCCTTGTTCCATACTAAGAACCAGCCGGGACTGCCACAAATAGGTCCTGCACAGTCTTACAGTAGATGTCTCTCACGATAACCTCCCCCCCCCCCCAAAAAGCGTAAAACACCAGAGACCATGATACACTTGATTAAGGAATATACTAAGGACCTGCATGATTTCCAAAATTGTGTTTCTGTGTCCTTTGCATAATTAATTAATTAATCCAAAATTAATCTTGCAAAGGGTGAATTTGTAACTCCCATGTCAAGATGTTTATGCCATTCGTCTCCACAAGAGCAACCCTCCTGCTGGGCTCAGGAGCCCGTGTAAAAGTCTCAAAGAGTGTCTCTCGTTTAGTGCCACTTTGGGTTTCTGATGCTCTAGCGCTGTAAGCCAGAAACCCCTTTTGAAATGAACCCCTTTTGAGCTGGAGCTAGCTTGGAACTTTGGCCAACCAACTTGGACAGTCGTAGAGCAGCATGCATCATCGCAGTCCTCACCCTCACACTGTGGAAGTGTCTCGCAATCATGGGTCTCTTTGGTGGTCTCTAGAACGTGGATCCCAATCTTTGGGTGTGGTAGGACAATCCGTGCTTCAAGCAATCCCACTTGCCTTGAGCAAATGCCCCAGCCTGCCTTTTTCTGTACTGTCATTTATGCCAATGCTGGGTCTTCCAGGGACGTAAGGAGGAAGGCTACAATCAATACTCATAGGCATCCTGACATGGATATGCTATGGACTGGAAGTGGGCCTGCATTCTGCAAAATCTATACCTACAGCAGAACTTCACAGCACGCCCAAAACATAGATTCGAAAGCCTGAACCTCAGTATAAACTCCATACACTTGAAACTGTAGATCATCTGAGGTGTCCACCGACTGGTGAACACATCCTCATCGATGGAGGAATGGCTACCCACTTGAAGTCGGTACCTCAGCCAGTACCCTGAGGGTCCAGCCCTTGAATGGATCCCTAGAGTAGTCTTTCAGTAATCTCGATTTTCCTCAGGAATACACGACACTTGTATTCTCCTTCCCTAGCAGCTACGACATGAAGTTGCCAAAGCCAGGGTGCCAAGTTAGTTCATCCAGAACACTTCATTAAAAACGGTTTGCTGCTTCGATGCCATCGGTTGAACTGACGGTTTCAGAGGCTCACATGGGCTTCGTCTTTGTAAATGCTGCCACTTGTTTGCACCCGCTGCGGAGTACTGGCACGAGTACCAAGAACACGTGCTTCGCCCGAATGTACTTGCATGGCTACTACCGCGACTATTCTTTCCATTTAGCCAATCACAATGTGTCTCGTACTCTATGGCTACTCATGACAGCTCCATAAGCGCAGGCGCAGGCGCTGAAGAAATACACACTCGCACTCCCCCTTTTGATTTCAGTACAGTATCCACAGAGTAGATACCCCAAAATGAAGTCAGGAATCCTGAATGAAGACATCAAGCCGAAATGGGCCGCTTCAGTGGCGCACTTCAGCTTCACATTGCCCGGGCACCAGAGGAAGAGAGCGCAAAAGCCTTCTTGAGACCTTTCGCGGCCTTTCATGCATCGCTGTTGGGCTTCGGTCCAGATGAAAAGAAGGACTTTCCGGAGTTTTGCGCATTTCAGGGCCCTGTATTGTGATTTTCGGGAAGCTCTGGGGGAATGCTAGGCAGCCTACAGCTTGCTGGCCATGACCTTCAAGGTTTACCGTTCTGAATGCAAGGCCATCTCCTTAGAATAGCATCGCCGATCACATGTATTTCCAGGGTCCCTCGCCTCCCATTTTTGCGGTGACCTCCATATATGAGGAGGGGCCCTTTCATGCATAAGTTGAGTTATAAGTGCTGACCAATACTTGCGAAGTATGGTTCTACTTCCTATACATTGTAGTTATGTGATTTATCAGTATCGTTATGTACCTAACCAGGGGAGCTTGGATAGTGTACCCAAAGAACCACCATCCTTGAGCAAAGCGAGCTACCCTCCCGGCATTGTAACCTGGCAGCTCAAAACGGGTACTACACAGGTTACTGTCCCGTAAAGGAGGCTTATATGGGCTTCTATGTCAGTTTGGGAGAGAGTGCGCTGGAAAATGGTTCTTGGGATGTTATATCTACTACAGGGCGGGGCCCCTAGTTACACAAGTACCTTCATCCATCCCGCAACAAAAAATCCAGCACCGTAATTACTCTTGCTATAACACGCTTATGCTTAAATCTAGGGTTCTTCCTTGGCATCCCGAGGGCTCCACATAGCCCGATGTAGGTACTATATTGGGGTCCCTTATATGGGTAATAATGGAGAATCAAATGGAAAAGCAAATGCAACATGAAATGGAGACTAGGGGGTTATAGGGATGTGTAGGGCTCCAAATAGCCCAATGTAGGTACTATTTATAGATATTGGGGCCCAATGTAGGCATTAATTATAGACATGGAGCCCCAGGGCATGTTGCCTTGCAACCAGACAGCAGGGTAGCAGGAAACCGTAGCAACGCTCTGTAAAGTGACGGCCTGTGTAGGAGTTTGCCAAACTTGCTGCCCCCGAAGTCGGGCAAATTGTTATGCAGACTCGAATCTAGCAGCAGTCTGAGTATAGGACTTCTTCGAACGAACAACCCATGAATTAAAAGTGTGCATATCAGGCATACTTGGGTTCGAAGTTGCCGCTAAAGCGAGCCCCATACACACAAAAAACATACATACATATATATATATATATGTATAAGGGACTCCTGAATACTGGAACTTCCAACAGAGGAATCCCTGTCCTGGGATTTTTTCCTCAATGAAGCCAGTGTGCATGCTGCATCGATATGGGGGTCACTGTAAATTAGTGGTCCGCGGTCGGTGTATGATAGGGATCGCAATACGCTGCGGTGTACAAGAGGACACCTGTTCCCATATCCTATGTACGGCGTGCAGTAATAGGCTTGGAGGACTTCCACCCCGCCGGCAGCAGCAGCAGCACAACCCCAGTTTATAACAGCCGCGCAGAATATGGGCCAGGCAGGCCGTCGCGATGTGCGCGAAAGCCGCCGCTAAAGAACAGGATTGCACCGCCGGCGATGGTCAAGACAAAGCACGCGGACACTTGCGGCAGGGGCATCTCAAGCATTGTCATCGGGTTGGTAGTGGACAATTGCGTTTCCAAGGGCGGCACAGAGTTTGCCAAGGGAAGAAACGCCGCCAACACATCGCCAACTAGTGACAAGTTGCGAGGGTTTAGTTGGAGAGTTGGCGAACCCTCCTCAAGCTTCCCAGAGACAAGCAAGGTATTCATGTCGACCCATATGAAATTTGGGTTCATGACCCAACCCCAGTAGTAGATGCGTGCAGTGTAGTCGGTCAAGCTCGTCCACCACGTGGGATACACGCCCAGCTCCGGTTCATCATCCGCAGGGGCACCCAAGGGCGCTGCAGCAGTACCTATGATACTGCGCATCTCTCCAGTCATTACCATACTGTCCATTGTCTTAGGCACGTAGTTCAGGAAGTAGGCCAGGCGAACGAAGCGCGATGCTGAGGCGATGTCTCCAGGAGGCACCGTCCTACGAGTGAATGGCTTGTAGCGCCTTACATTCGCGATCTGCTCTGGCAACGGCGGGTCATTCGTCAGCACGGTGTAATTTCGCCCGTGGTAGACTTGCAGCTTGCCGCTCATGATCCTAGCTGCTCTTGTGACAAGAAATAGAGATGGCAACTTTCATACATACTACTTCCGAGCCCTATGCAAAAACGATTCCAAGTGCAGCAAGCGAGAAGCTCAAAAACCGCAGAATCTCCAGAGGCATCCTCGACGGCCACATGTGTGCCCAGGGAGAGAGGTGCAGATCCAGGTGAGGCCTTGGCATCTGGGTAGTAGTAAGATTATATTCCGTAAATAAAATACTATACCCCAAAAGGAGGATAGAATCTTACTCTATAATGGGTACCATAGTATCCCCAAATAAAATACTACTCATCTGGGCTCTGCAAGGTAAGAACAGTCTACTTGGAGGGTCATGGGGACTCAGTAAGTGGGCTGATAATGGAAAAGAACATGGAAACTACCATAGGGTCATAGGGACTGAGTAAATAGGTTAGTACAAGGACAATTGGGATTATTATATAGGGGTTATTAACCTACTTGCTAAGTCCCCGTGACCCTCCAACTATGAGAGCCGTAATGACAAGTTATGACCATAGCAGCAATAAGCATGATGCAAGTAGACGCGCCCGTGATGATAACAACAGGTTTCAGCACTGTCTCCGGCCATTCTTCCTGTCTGTTCAGCAACCTCTTGTAATCATCAGACTTTCCATGTCTATAGACAGACAGGTCATGCGTTGAGTCTTGTTGCTTCCTCTACTTGCATTGTTCTATCTTGGATTTTTGCAGATCCTGAAGAAGTCCTATTAGTCCTGGGACCCTGATTCTTAAACCCTTGTCCCTAAACCAAGCCCCGAACCCTTAACCTCGACCCCTAAACCCTAAACCCTGAAGCTGGAATGTGAGAGAAATGCAAGTGTGGCTGTCTGAGAAGGGCGCAGCTAGGCAATACAGCTTGCATCCCTACGGAGCCCTTCATTTTTGACTGCAAGATTCCAAGAGAGCAGGGTTGAGGGTTTAGGGTTTAGGGTTTAGGGAGAACAGGGTTGAGGGTTTAGGGTCCTTCAGATAGGAAAAAGTGGCCTGGATGTGGGGGTTTGCGACCCGGATCGCCCTCATGGCTTCCACAGCTTCACTGACAGACGCACATGTATCCAGCAGGTATCGGACGACGCGCGTGTAGGAGACTGACTCCTGACGCGCCGTAACAAGTACTGCACCCTAAAACCTAAATCCTAGGCCATGAAGAGCACTTTCTAGTCTTGTTGAACGTTGAATAAGATACCTTGTAGCGGTGACATAGCCAAACCCAAGAAAACCTGAAACCCCCCGAAACCTATCAAACCCTAGAAAACCTGAAGCCCCGCAGACCCTAGAAACCCGAGAACCCTTGGAGCCGCCTTGGTACACCCCAAAGCCCTAAACCCTGAAGCCCCAAACCCTGAAAAGCAGAGAAGTATGCATGGTCTTTTCCATGACCCCTACAGTATAAGCCCCTGAACCCTTAAACTACCCCCCTCACCTAATCTTTAGACTACAGATTCTCGTTGTGATATCCTATAACATACTGGGAGTATCTAGTATTCGGGGGTGGTGGGTTCAATAGTGCCCCGAAACCCTAAACCCTAAACTCTAAACCCTAGAAACCTTAAACCCTATACTCTAAACCCTGAACCTATACTCTAAACCCTAAACTACTCTATAAACCCCAAACCTTTTGGTGTCCTCACTCCCGGCTGGGCCATACTCGGTAGCCTCGAGGTACAGGAGATGGGCACCCAAACCGGCCTCTTTGATGCAGCAGCTGTTTGGGAGTTTAATGTAGACCCCTGATTAAAAACCCCCCTCCTTTTAAGGGCCTTAATATTAGGATCCCTATTATAACCCCTACTAAGGGGGTTTGCTTATTAATGAGGGGTCTACATTAGGATTTAAGGATTGTGCTGCAGGAGTAAGAGGGCTTGGTAACCCCAACTGTAATTGTCATGTTGACTCGCGTTTAAAAGAAAATCTCGTGAAAGGCCTTAGACCTCCTTCTCATGCAATACTTCAGCATTATCTGCATATTTAGCAAGAAAATGTGGTAAAAGCTTTGAGGGAGCCGGGGACTATGCTGGAGTCTGCCTAGACAAATGAAAGATCTATATAACCCATTATGGTAGTTTCCATTTTCTTTTCATCATACAAATATAACCCCAATATATACCCTATAATCCCTATATAACCCATAGGAGTCCTGACCGTGATGGAACTTGAGGTACTGGATTTTTTGTATCATCTCCATGTACGGCATTCTTGGGAGCAGAGCAGCGTATTGCACAACAAAGCTACACGGTGCCTCATTGATGCCATCTGTGCCGCCATCTTGAGCATAACCTTGGTGTTATTGCTCAGTGATGGCCTACCTTCTTGACCTCTTTTAATTACTTCTCTAAACTTCACACTAAGCTTGTAGACTGAACTTCACTGTAAGTTTGCAAACCGTCAAGCGTTGCGGAAAACTCAAGGCAAGCCGCACGCCTAACAGTATTCACTCTTGCCCGTATCATTCAAAACGTAGTAGCAATTATGGTGATCGCAGTGGTAACAGTAGTATTGATGACAGCAATACTTACATCATAAGAATAACAACACCGGTATGAATGGTAGTAGAAGCCGCTTCCAGGTAGCTGAACGGTTGGCCTGTGAAGCTGGACGACGCGGTGCTCAGCCAGGTGTTGATTGAAGACACGACGCTCCCGTACTTCACCTGGGGTTTCTTCACAGAAAAGGCCCCTCGAGACGCGGGCATGTACGGAAATTGACGAAGAAATATGGGTGTCCCTACAAGATATTCTGTGGGTGGTACATTTCAGAGGCTGCCACTTTGCATGCATGCTGAATAAGGGAAAGGAAGCTGGACAGTTCAAGTTACTATGTTGGAAAGCAACTTCCGCCAAATGCGGATTCATTGTGATCTTGTAGTCGTTCAGACCGCACCCCCCAACTGCCCAGCAAAATGTTGAACATCCGAGGGCACGGTTCATTGAGACCCAGAAGCTCTAGTCGACCTCATCACGCAACTCCAAAACAATCCTGCAACCGTGTGCTGTGTTCCAAAGCCTGCCATGTTTTGGTCTGGAGAAGTTGAACGATATTCCTTTTCAATTTGTCTGCCACAGCTAGAGTTCCCCTCATCCAGCAAACGAAGCTAGAGTGCCCCTTATCAAGCAAGATCATCCTTGTGAACTTACACAGGAACTGCTGACAAGAATGTCCATGCTACCTCCTATACATTGCAGTAGCTTGAAGGTGCAGGATGCGTCCATCCCAATCCACCAATCCAATCACCCGCGGCAAGTTTCTTCCGGATATCGAATCTCGGAAAAGTCCAACCGTCTCTTGAATGCTACATTTCCCCGCAACAAACTGCAGCCCCAAATGGGCCGAATAAATATCGCTGTCATCTCGATAAGCGGTCTTACGTGGTTCCATGCTTGTTTCGTAGAGGGCATTTAATCTAGAGACCACTTCACTCACCCACATACCTGGAGGATCTCTGAGAGGATCACGGGGGCTTCCTGTACCTGCCCCCGAAAACCCCGGAAGCACTTACTCTTGAGAAACAAGCCCACCCCAACAATAAACGATCATGTTGGTGAACTCGACAATCCAGCATTAAAGCCCTGACCTTCAGCCCTGAACCTTGAAATCTTGACCCGGAACTCCCTCGAGCCCATCCCAATTTTGAGACACACTGTGACGCCATGCCCGAAAGCCTAAGGCCTCAATCCTAAAATCTTGAACCATAACTTCAACCCTACATGGCCCAATGAGCCCCAGTTTCTATATGATTTCCATGTTCTTGTCCATTTGGTTTTTAATTCTGGGTGCAAAAACCTTGACCCTAGCCTTGAAAAATCCTTATACATCCCTGTGCAACTGAAACCTGAGCACTAAACCCTAAATCCTAAACCCTAAGCCCTAAATCCTAAACCCTAAACCCTAAACCCTAAGCCCACATGGCCTTCCAGGACTTTGACTTACCGGAAGGGCCCAAGCCTCCATCCATCCTCGAACCCCTGAAGACACACACTTCTATAGGGTTTGGGGTTTAGGGTTTAGGGGTTTAGGGTTTAGGGTTTAGGGGTTAGGGTTCAGGGTATAGGGTTCAATGGGCTATATTGGGGCTATATAGGGATAATGGAAAAGAAAATGGAAGCTGCTATTTAGGGTTTAGGGTTTAGGTTCAGGGTTTAGCGTTCAGGGTATAGGATTCAGGGACACTTCTCTGAACGTAGCAAAGCATGCCGAAAGAGTACGTGGGGGACAACCAAGGAGAACCAAATGGAAAGAAAATTGAAGGCCAAATGGAAACTACTGTTTTGGGCTTAGGGATTGTACCCGGGTAGTGGAGAATCGCATGGAGTAAACGATGCAAAATGCCGAAAGACGTGTGCGTGTGTGCATAAATGGAAGGTTGACAGCATGGCATGCACTCTGCATCTTAAGAGCTGTACTATACCAGGGACCCCAACGGGGACCTTACTTTTAGCAACCTACCATGCAAGGGTTTATGGGCTATATAGGGTTTATATAGGGAATATATAAGGGTATATGGGATTATATCATAATAATGGAAAAGAAAATGGAAAGGGGAGGCTCTGGTGTAGCACAGATCAAGGTTCAGCGAACAGTGAGGGTTGTTTGCCACCCAACCCAAAGGGTCCGAGTACTCAATAATTAGGTACTTGGGTTCAGGGTACTAGTAATTGTAATACAGGTATTTGGCTATAAGTATAGGACTATTAGCTACTTGGACCCGTAGACCCATCCCCACAACCCTACCCTCAAACCAGGACCCTATGACAATCATACCACAGTTAGAAGGGAGCCCGTTTCGGAGCTTGGGGTACCAAGCAAGCCTATCAACAGCATGGACGCCGTGGTTTGGTGCTTTTGACCTTTTCACAACCATCCCAAGCACATGAATTACGTTGGTGCCCCGCAAGGGAGTTTATCTTGGTCTTACTTAGTCTAGAGAATGCCTAAAGAAAACTCCGCCCAAAGCCCGAACCCAAACCTTTGTGCAACAAAGTCAATCACGACCTCGGGTTGATCAGGAGGGAGTCATTGAACGGAAACCTGGCAGCCTCTTGAAGAGGCTCTAGGCTGTAGGGTGTAGGCTTCACGGGTAGGGCCTAGGGCTTTAAGGTTCAGGGTCTAGGGACTCAAGGTGCAAGGTTCAATCATAAGGAGTTTCCCAAAATTGGGGTTACCTATTATAATGGAGAATGAAATGGAAAAGAAAATGGAAAATGAAATGGAAACTAAAGTTATGTAGGGGGTTTATAGGGATTGGGGTTCCCAAACTTAGGGGTACCTTTTTGGGGGTCCCCATAATAAGGATTATAATATATTGGGGTCTCTATTGGGGCCCCCTTATTTTGGGAAACTACCAACTGTAGGTTTGAGATGGTCCAGGAAAAAGGCATGGGGTCCAGGGTTGGAGATCTAGAGTTGAGCATCTGGCTGGTGTACCCGTATACCAAAAATCGACAAGCACGGATTCGCACAGTAAGATCAGGACTTCACTGGTGGAAGACTGCGATGCGTGTACGTACTGATGCTTAAGGATAAGTAGGGGAGTGGATCCTAGTATCATAAGTCCAAAGCAATCCCCTCGTTGACTCTCCCACTCACATAAGTTCAGGTCGGCTTGGTTTTGGAGACACCTGAAGAAGCCAAAGGCCACATGAGCTATAGTCTAAACTCCCAGTATCCCCCTTGAGCAATAATATCCTTATAATACTCCCCGACAAAATCCCCTATGTAATCCCCTTTACGGAGTTGAGATTATAGCTGACATGAAATTTGGCTTTGGATGCCAAACACAAGACGAGGAACCGCCTGGGACTGACGGCCTCTCGTGATTGGGTCTGGGATGAAGATACATGGGCTATAATCTAAACGCCAGTACCCCCCATCATAAGCCCTACAATACTACCCTAGTTAATCTCCTATAAATACCCTCCCTTGAGGAGTTTAGATACTAAACCCTAAATTCTTTATAATCCCCTATATATGGAGTTTGGATTATGGCTCACATGCTGGGGATCCAATTTTGGTATGTAGCTTGGCAGAGCCTAGATTCGAACTCCACGTCTATGGGGCTGCTGTTACGGGGGGTTTAGGGTTTAGGGGCTAAGCTTAAGGACATTAAACTAACAGAACGTGACGCCGTGGAGGGCTGG